ACAGTGAGCGGATTGAGCAGAGAAAGAAAGATGTGGACTTTGCATTGGCCAAAATGTAGGAAAGAGATTGCGGTAAAACTACGTGCATATATAATACTTCCCTGTAAATAAGTGTTTTTTCGATGCTGCTTCCCTCATTTCAAGCGTTTGCTTATGCTTAGTTCTTAAGTTACATCCCATTGCACAGCTGCATGATCTTGTGCTTCATCATAGATTACTGGATAAACGAGCAGTGTTTTATATTACACAGGTCGTTACACCGTGACTTTGTCCAACGTCAATGCCCAGGCTTGAACGCACCAGGCTTTCCGGTGCGATCATGCGTTTTTGCACTAAACTCGCAGATCGCTGTTAGCAAGAATGATCCCTGTTATGTAGCATAACACTTAGGCTGGTACTGGCCGTGATTTGGCCTCTTCCGGCGTGCAGGAGGAATAAAATTATCTCTTACTGATGTTTGGATAAAATTTTCTCGAAAAATCAAATCTATATCGGGAAAAGAAAAATTAACATGCTTTGTAAAGTCTATAATTAGGGTTTGCGTTTTATAAAATCCGCTTATGTTAGACTCCATTCGTCAAAATGTTGTGATGTATGTTAGTATGAACGTTACTATCTGAATATGTATATCTGTTTGTGCACCTGTAAAATCGTAATTATTAATCTTGTCAAATAAAGTTATTCTGATTTTTCATTAATAACTTGAAATGTTACATCCAAAAAGCTTTACACGCAGTAAAATGATTGGGTGTACAAATTTGGAACGAATGTTGGTTTTTATACTTAATTAAAGTGGTTAGTTTGAATGATGTGTTAAGTAACAATAAGGCACGTAAGTAGACTGTTAGTATTAAGTGTGGATAAAAATTCTTGGAAAATTCATATCTATACCGGGAAGAGAAAGACTGACATATTTTATAAAGGTTATAGTTATCAAGACCACGAGCTTTATAAGTATCTGTTAAACTATTTGCATATTAAACCCAATTCTCAAAAATCGAAGTAATTGACTGTATAAAACGTTATAGTGTATGTTAGTATGAGTGTTACTGTGTAGATAAGTACATCTAACAACTGGAATATTGTGACTATGGAGTTGTTCGTATTTCTCCCTGTCTTATGGTTTGAAATGTTATGTTCTGGAAGTTGACTGTGTTACCATTACCTGTTATTTCTAATGGCAAATCTGTGCCATAAATTGAAGTTGTAACGTTGATGAAATTTTCTATGTATATGAAAAGTACATCGTCAACATATCGACACATTAATAGTGGAGGATTAGTACGTATAATAGAATATTTATATTCTAAAGTAGCTAAAGTTAAGTCAGCAACATCTGGACTCGCATTACCTCCCATCGGCACTCCTTTAATTTGTTGAAATATTTTACCTAGACACGTGACCGGGAAAAGAAAGACCGAAATAGAACGTAGTGAATCATGGCACATATCTCTCCAGCAGCATCAGTTTTATGTTGATGCAGTCTTCATGTAAAGTCTGTGTAAAAAATGGTTTTGTAACCTACAGCTGTACAATCTAGTCTGGAGATTTTAAAAAAAATCTCGTATAAGAATTTTAAACAACTATAAATGGTGTCGCTTGAAAGTTTTGTGAAAAGTGTGGAGAAGTCGGCGATGATTAATCCACCAGTTGTTCCGTGCCTCCTAACATGGTCTATAGCATTATATGAATTATTTATGCTGAAGGATGTATTTCGTCCAGTTTTATTATATATAACGTTACAGTAATTTTCGAACTTCTGAAAAACTGCAAAATTCTGTGAGGTAACTGTGCTAAGGGCTTACTGGAATAACTAGCAGCTGTTACTGGAATAACTAGCAGCTGTTATAAAACGAAATTTGTAAGGAGTTTTGTGCAATTTGGGAATTGCATAAAGAAAAGGAAGGGCATTATTCTTTTCATCTAACGTAAGTTGAAAACGATTAAGAATATTACTGTGCCGTGTTATGATGTTAGAGGTAGTTTCTGATACTATTTAATATGTAGGATCTTCAGCACAATCTTTACTTAAATTGCAGCTGATACCGAGCTCCGGGAGTAATACAGAAATATAGTAGCGTTTACAAGGAAAGGCATAGTCATTAGGGGCTTTGTCCACAGGAGTAATGATGAATTCATTTTGTAATTTTTTGATATCCTCTATATAAAGAAGTTTATTATCAAATAGACTCCTAGAGCTGTTATCACGATAAAATTGCGCTGTAAGTTGATCAAATTTGGTAATAATAGCATTTCTGTAAGCATTCACATCTTGAATCGGTAACCTGTTATTATTAATAAGGTAATTAACATATCGTTGGAACATAGAAGAAAAACTGTTAGCAGCAGTGGAACGTATATGATTATATTGAATTCGGAATTTACTTCCTCGTTCGAAAATTTTTTGAAGTTTTGCTTTAGAAGTAACTTTAATGTTTGTTGTGATTACATGACCTAACGGCTTATAAATGAAAGGCGAATTTGCATATTTGCATGGAAATTCAGTAGGACGTATTGTATTAGAAGAATTGCTGCCTAATAGACGAAGAAATGATGAATAATTAAATATAGTTTTACTAATGGTTTATCGTATTTAAATGTTATTCGGGCAGGTAAAATATCCTTTATGCGTCTTAAATTTCTCCAGTCTTGATTATTAATTAAGCGACTGTGGCTGATGTAACCGTAAGCTGGACCTGGGTACTGTAGAACAGTATGGAAAAATTCTTTCTTGTTACGTTTATCGTTGCTATTATCGACTTTATAATGAATATGAGTATATCACTGCTCGTAAATATGTGGAACCTATGGTATGATCTAATCTATTAAGGAATGTAAGTAGTGTTCTTTTACTCTGATTTCGTATTCGTATGAAGAAATTTTTAAACTACAAATTCCCTGCTTATCCTAAGCCTTTGCGTCAATATCTTGGATTTTTGTTCGTATCGGATCCCTCCATCTGTAAACGAGATTGCATCTACCCGAATGTCTGCAGAGCACAGCGCAACGTCGACACCGGATGAAGCGTCGATTCGTTTTGGGTGTCTGCCAACGTTTGAACGTCGTCCAGCTGTTTATCTACAGAACAGAAAAGACGGGGAAACCAAAAAAAAGATTTATCGAGAAAACAAAAAAGACAGTGAAAGTACAAAAAGCGGACAAATAAGTTTAGCTGGAGAACGGAAAAGACCGGCTTCAAAAAAGAAACAAAAAATTGAGAAACAAAAACAAGGGTTTGCAAAATGAAGGCCACACCTGCCTCCGATGATGTGTCCACTACCTCCGATTTGTTAGAAGCGACCATTTCTCGTGATGCAATGCTATGGAGGATGGCTACACAGATTCTGGATGCAGGGATTTTTGGAAAAACGATACATAGATTATTGATACGTATTATAGACTATTCACTTTTGCAGGCCCGATATATAGATCCTTTGTAATCTGCTTCGGTTCCGTACTCTTTTTGGAAGGCTCCGTAGACTTTTTCTCCGCTCACGCCAGTAAACGACACCAAAACGTTTACTGTCCATTACCTACGGTTTCACTAAAAGCGCACATTTCTCATGATGAAACGGGAGGGTCGTGCATGGTATAGGTACATACCCCCAAAGTTTCAGCCTTCTAGCTTTTCTGGTTCTCCAGTTCAAGGTGGGTGACAAAAAGTGCGAACACACAGACACACACACGTGCACACAGACAGACTCCTCCCAATATGCGTTTTTGCAATTTACATATGTGTAAAAACGCACAAAAAAGACAGAAAAAGCACAAAAAGAACAAAAGACAGTGAAAGCACAAGAGGCTAATTAGATGATTATTACGTAGAAAACGGGAAAGACGGTGAGAGCATCGACATCAAAAAAGGAACAAGAAGTCGAGAAATACAAGCAAGGATTTCCGAAATGAAGTTGCGGATAATTTATCAAATACAGCCATCGGCAAAGATAAGACGTTTTCAGTGTGGTGGAATACCCTCCATACCTAAACATTCTCGATGGTGTCAAATGCTTCAGCGTCCAGTGCGATCATTTTGCTGGTCAGGCTCTTCACGAACATTCTGTAGCAGCAATATTTGGAGTGGTAAATAGTATTTTTTGTAATCCGGCTCGCAGATGCATCTGTCCACTCCTTCGATTGTTCTGTACCCGTTATACCAGTAAACGTTATCCTAACGAACACTGTTCATCGCCACCGATTTCATTAGAACTGCACGTTTCTCATGACGCACTGCTACAGCAGCGATATTTGGAGGACCGAGACTTAGATAATTTGTAATCTGATCCGGCTCTGCGTCTCCTTCTTCGAATGTTCTGCAGACTTTTCCGCCAGTTAGGGCTGATAGACTACTGGTGGCTGCGCCGTCAAACCCAGGGACCTGGACCGGATCCACCTTCGATAATCGCATCACCCGGATCAGCACCAGCATATTCCTTGGTTTCCTCCTCCTCCATCCGTTTCCCTCCTCAACCCTCCGCGCCATGTCTTCTTTATGCTTCCCTTTTCCTCTATACTTCCCGCTGCCTCGTGTGATGATCACAGCTGTTCCCTTTTTATCGCATTTGGAAAATCCCTGAAAGTTCGACCACCGTAGAGTTGTTTGCCAATACAATACGAAGATAGTTAAAACACGGATTTTCGAAACAAGACCGAAAGTAGAAAAAACAAGTATTACCAAAATAAGATCAACAGCTACATCGCAAACAAACCTACCTACGATGACGCTGTTGATTCCCTCCTCATACTGAGCGTTAACACTCTCGATGCTACCGGATGCCTCCATCTCCAACGTGATTGGCCAGCCGGTTGGAATCTTCCCAGAGATCTGCAGGCGACACGCAACCTCAACACCTGATGGAGCGTTGCAGTCTCACAGCGTTTGGACCATCCCCAACTGTTTATCTGGAGAACAAAAAAAGACAGAGAAAGCACAAAAAGAACAAAAGACAGTGAAAGCACAAAAAGCTAGCTGGATGATTATCACCCAGAAAACGGGAAAGACGGTGACAGCTCTCGGACACATATACACAGTCAAACAACCTCGTGACAATATGCGTTTTTTGCTGCGTAACAGTAGTACAAAACACATATTGTTAC